CCTAAACCCTAAACTCTAGACCCTGAACCCGGAACCAAAGGTATCCTTCGTCTCAGATCCACATCAAGTTTGAGCCAGCGGCGGAGAAGAAGCCTACTGAAGAGCAGGTGCGGGTCTATAAGGGTTAGTATAGGGGCCTTAATAATTAGAATAGGGTTTTGGGCCCCTCATACTGTAACTATACTAAGGAACCACCAAAATAATATTAGTAGTCATTCAGGCCCCTATATTACCATAATACGTCCGTGATACGGGGCTTACATGGCTTAGGGCTCAGAGCTACGAGTTTGGGTTTTGGGGTTTGGGAGTTTAGGGTTTTGGGCCAAGGGTTCAGTCTTTCGGATTCAGTGGTTATTAGGTTAAGAGCTACGGGCTTCGGGTTTGAAGCCGAAAAGATAGCATCGGAAGCTTTCCTGGCGAGTTTCCAACTTTTGGGCAAGGACTGACATGGACCCTAAACCCTAAACCCTAAACCCTAAACCCGGAGCTTCGTCCAAGATTGGCAAGTTCTCGGCCGCGGATGCCTAAGCCCTCTGAGCCCCAAAAGCCAAAAAGTTGAGTGGGGTAGGGTTTAGGGTTTAGGGTTTAGGGTTTAGGGTTTAGGGTTTAGGGTTCAGGGCATATTTATGGTTAAGGTTTAGGGTTCTAGCTGCCCTTTTCAATTGAGTCCCTGACGTGGTGTTTGGAGGTGTATGAGGTCCTCCGGCGCTACGGACAGCTGGATGAGCTCACGGCCTCTGGAGATGGCTACACCGCCCGATTCCGCTACCAGTCTTGAAAATGCATGCGTCAGTCCCAGAAAACGCCGCCCTAAACCCTTCTTTAGAGGTCGTGTACCCATTGCAGCACCTACATTCAAGCTTAAGCTCTAAACCCTTAGCCCAAGCCCTAAACCCCTAACCTTAAACCCTGGACCCTAGACCCGCAGCCCTTATAACCCTAAACCTTAACCCTAAACCCTACACCCTAAATCCATAAAACCCTAAACCCTAAGCCCTAAACCTTATAACCAAGTATCCAAACCTGTAAGCCACCCAGCCAGGTTATGTCTCGGGCGGCGTGGCGGCCAGAAACTGCTTGCACCGGGCTCCCCTTCAGTTGGAGGGTCAGGCACACAGGGAGGGTTTTGGGCTTTGTTTAGGGTGGAAGGGTTTCGGGTTTTAGAGTTCCTAACTTAGGGTTTAGAGTTCCTAAACCCAAAACCCAAAACCCTAAACCCTAAACCGTGGTTCGGGGCTTTGGGATCTGACTTAAAGACTCGGATCTTTCGTGCAGGGATTTGTCACGCGAATCTCTGCCAGCTATCGGGTCTAGGCTTTGGCGGTATGACTCCCGAATCCGACGCCCGCGATCCGGGCAAACCCGACATGGACTCGACGTAGCAGCGATGTTGGGGTTTGGGGTACCGGATTTCGGGCCTTGGTGTTAGTTTCCGGCGGGAGGATTCATACCCTAAGCCCTAAGCCCTAAGCCCTAAACCCTAAGCCCTAAACCCAAAACCCAAAACCCTAGAAAACCCTTTCTATCCCATGTCAGGATGGGCCGGTGACGACCTTCTGCATCGAATACAAGCAGTTCGTGCAGAAGTGGGGCCCCGGGAGTTCTAGATAGGTCTTGAACAAAACAGCATGTTATGATGGTACATTATAGTATATTATAGTATACTATAGTATGGTATAGTACATTATTACATTATAGTATATTATAACATGTTATAGGATGTTATAGTATGTTATAGTATGTTTTAGTAGGCTATAGTATGTTCTAGTAGGTTATAGTGTATGAGTTTATGTTATAGTATGCTAATGTATAAAACGGTCAGGGTTTGGATTTCGGATCTCTGAGTTTGGGCTTGCTGTCTTGAGGTTGAGTCCAGTCTTCAACAGAACACGCAAGTGACGGGCTCTGGGTTTAGGGTTTAGGGTTTAGGGACGAAGCCAGATGTTTGTTTTACACACCATTCTGATCTCAAGATTGTCAGAGTGCCCGCGAGAGACAACTGAAGAGGGCCTGAGCGGCATGAAAGAGTGGTTCGAAAAAGAACGGACCCAAAGAATTAGGAATATCTACAAGACAGACTCCCGATGCCCACATCAGCGCAGAACCTCAAATAGTTAAGGAGTAGATTCTGAATCACGTTAAGGATCCCGTAGAATATGAGGTCCACTCCATAATGATGAGCAGATTTGTCTCTGGGAAGGCGGGAAGACTAAGACTGTGTTTAGGTCTATTTGGGGGGGATCTGAACAGGGACCGTAATTTAGAGAACTGCCCATTTCCTGCCTTTGTTTTTGATCTGCACAGGTGGCTGTGGGAGACGTTGACAGCAAATGCTCGCTTCGTGTTCCCACTCTTCGTTGTCTTCATGCTGCTTCCCTCAATGACTCTAGACCATGAGCTCCAAGCGCACAAACTCAAAACCTTACATCCTGAACAACAAAAGCCTCAGTCCCGCATGCTTGGCCAGAAACTCGAGATCCTGAACCCTAAACCCTAAACCCTAAACCCTAAACCCTAAACCCTAAACCCTAAACCCAACCCCAAATAGGCCCCAGGCCCAAGACCTTCAATCCGAAGCTCCTGGAACATAGGGGCGAAGCTGTTCCGGTAAAGTCTAGTATGATCGCATTGGAGCATGTTGGAAGTAATCTAGGTGCCGTAATACTTAGATTAGGGTTCGGGGGTATATTATACTATAATGGTACTGAGGAGCCCCCAAAATCCTAATCTATTAAGGCCCCTAAAGTAACCGCGGATATCGCCTATTCTCCATGTTCCAAAGCCCAGTGCCCAGAGAACCCAATACCCCTTAATTAAGGAATATACCTTAAATCCTAATATTAAGGCCCTTATAATTTAAGGTATATTCCTTAATGAAGGGCTATTGGGTTCTCTGGGTGTTCGGGGCTTCTCACCTTGACGCCTTTTTGATGCGAATCGAACCGTCTCAGAGTCCAGGGCCGCCACTTTAAGTGTTCAGGTTCTGGTTTAGGGTTTAGGGTTTAGGGTTTAGGGTTTAGGGTTTAGGGTTTAGGGGTGAGTTGAAACCCTTCAGTGTATGAGGCCCTGACTAAGAACCTTAAACCCTAAACCCTAACCCTAAAAAGGCTAGGCGTTCGAGTGCCAGGTTGATGCTTGGACGTTTGGGGGTTTAGCTTCGAGGCTTCGGCGCGTGATGCTTCGGGCGCAGGGGGGAATAACTCGGCTCATGTGCCGAATATCGGGGCCTGAATAATTACCTCTACTATTTTGGTGGGTTCCTTACTATAATTATAGTATAAAAGGCCCCCAAAGCCTATTCTAATTATTAAGGCCCCTATATTACTTATGTTCCTGACTCATGGAGTCGAAATGACTCCTGGTGTCTGCTGTGCTGCAAAAGAATCCCCGAGGCCGTGCAGTCCCAGCCCTGCGCCCTAACCCAACTTCCTTAAACCCTATAAACTATAAACCCTAAACCCTAAACCCTAAACCCTAAACCCTAAACCCTAAACCCTACCCGAAAACTTAACCTAAACACTCAAAACCCCAGATCAGCAAAAAGGTTCGGAACCACCTACTTCATCTGGGATCCCATGCGCACGGCCGACGGACTGCTTTTGGATTCGAGGGTTCTGGGTCTTCAGGGGAAAAAGCCAAACCCTACACCCGGAACCCTCAACCCTAAAACCTTTACGGTTTAAGTCCCCCAGGAAGCTGGGTTGAAGTAGAGCTTCAAAGCTTAGGGTCGGTGTTTCAGGAGTTTTGAAGAAGATGGTTGGGAACATGCACCAATCTTTTAGGGTTTTGGGTCCTAAACCCCATACCGGAAACTGTAAATCCGAAACCCTGGACCCTAAACCCTCACCGTCTAGTGACTGAGGCCTTGAAATTACCTGAAGCTCAGTGTCCGTAGGATTAGAGCCAAGTGTTTTCAAAAGGGTTAAAGCGCTTAGGGGTGTAGGCGCTAGCATCTGGGGGTTTACAGTTCAGGGTCTAGGGTTTAGTTAGATTTTTTTGACAGCCCTAGACCCTCAACCCTAAACCCTAAACCCTGTCTGAGATTTGAAGGAGAGGTTGTGGGGCTGCAGGGATCCCGGGTGATTGCAGTGATCTTCTACCGCTTTCGGGTTCGAAGCGTCGGGTTCGGGGTGTAGTGTTCCAACTTACTGGACAGAGTCGAACATTCAGCTAAGCTTCTCGTATGTCCATGTTCTAGGGTGTAAGAAGATGTTCTCGTCGCCGAGACTCACTCACTCTACATGTCCAGCCCGCCGAGAGTCAAGAGCACAAGGCCTTCGTGCACCTGCGCCTGGCGGCGATCTTCTCCTCCGTGCCTTCGCGAAGCGATTCCGAGCACAGGGAAGGCCACCGGCAGTCCGGGCTTATTCTTGCCATGGGAGCTAGGATTAGGGGGACCCTTGGGGATATAGACCCCCTCACTCAGGTCCCTTTTAAGAGAGCTACAAGTAGGGTTCAGAAGGGGTACCCTTTAAGGGGTACCCCTAATAATACTACCTATGCCATGGCTAGCATTGGGGAATTTTCTGCAAGAAGGGGTCCTGTTTTGGGGAGTGGCGGTGCGCGTTTCGGACTTGTTTTACGGCTCACTCTCAGAATACTTGGCTTAACCCTACCGTTGAAAACCCTGAAGCCCTAAACCACCCCGCACTCCACCCACCCTCCCTCAGAAATACAGCTCTCTCTCTTTCTCTGTGTATATATATATATATGTATATATATATATATATCTATGTTATGTTATATGAATGTGTACATCGATTATATATACATCTATCGGGAGACTTAGTAACTAGGTTATGAGTAGACTTATAAGTACCCTAAACGGGACCCTAATTGGGGTTTATAGTACTTTTCAGTCTAAAGAATAACCATTTGGGGGTTTCAGAAAATAGGGGACCCCAATATAGTACCCTAAATAGTAGGATCCCCATGGAAAAAGGACCCCAAAATAAGGTACCCCCTAATTTTCGGAAACTCCCATTTACTAAGTCCCCCGACCCTCCAAGAAACCCTAAACCCTAAACCCTAAACCCTAAACCCTAAACCCTAAACCCCAAACCCTAAACCCTAAACCCTATGTAGGTGACTCTCACTACGCTGGTGCGACGGGTCTCCTGCTCCGGGGCCTCCAAGGGGCCCTCCGCGGCCTACGAGAGGCCCGGGCCGTGCCGCTCTGAAGGCAGCAGTGCGTTTAGGGTTAGGATTTAGGATTTAGGGTTTAGGGTTTAGGATTTAGGGTACTGTAGGGTCTAGGCTTTAGGGTCTAGGGTTTAGGGTTTGGGGTTTAGGGTTTAGGTTTTCGGATTCAGGGTACTATAGGGGCCGAAAGAACTACCAATACTATTCTGCAGGTTCCTTATTATACTCATCGTATGATATACCCCGAAACCCTGTTGTTATTTGTAAGGCCCCTATATTACAGGGTTTAGGGTGGTTGAGGGTACAGGGTTTAGGCCTTAGGGTTGCGGTGTTTAGAATACGGAGCTATTCAGAAGTTCTTCAGGGCTTTGAATACACGGATTACAGAGCTCTGTACGGGGTTTGAGTTTCCGAGGTTGGGTTTAGGGTTTAGGGTTTAGGGTTTGTTGGGCTTTAGAGTTTAGGTTTTGGTCTTAGGTCTATTTAGGGTTTAGTGCGTACCCGTGAGAGGCTCAGGGGGTGTAGGGCTTAAGTAAAAAGAACCCTGAACCCTAAACCCCCAACCCTAAACCCTTATAGAACCCTAAACCCTAAACCCTTAGAGAACCCTAAACCCTAAACCCTTATAGAACCCTAAACCCTAAACCCTTGGAGAACCCTAAGCCCTAAACCCTTAGAGAACCCTAAACCCTGAACCCTTAGAGAACCCAAAACACTAAACCCTTGCAGAGCCCTATAGACCCTAAACCCTCAACCCTCCGGTTCAGGGTTTCAGAGTTCAGGGGTTCAGCTGAAGGGTTGGAGTTTTACACTTCCCTAAACCCTAAACCCGAAACCCTAAACCCTGACCGTTTAGTGTTCAGGTTCCGGGCTTCAGGCGGTTTCGGTTTAGCTTTGAAGGCTTAGGCGCTTAGGGTTCGGCTAGTGTTCAGTTTTGGGGATTTACGGTTTAGGGGTTGGGGTTTAGGTTTGAGGGTCGATGCTTCAGTTTTCAGGGTTTATGGTTCATTGTTTAAAAGGGTTTAGGGGTTTGGGGTTCAGAGTTTCGGGTTGTAGGATTTAGGGTTTGAGGTTCAGGGTACAGGGTTTTGTGGTGTGATATAGGGGCCAGAATACAGTAATTACCAACACTACTTTGGGGGATCCTTATTATACTTGCAGTAGAATATACCCCACAACCCTCTTCTAATTATTAAGGCCCCTACGTTAGTCCCTGAACCACCCTAAACCCTAGACCCTAAACCCTGTCCCGGTGGAAGTGGAAGCTCGTCCTCGTCCTCCTCTTAAGGGTACAACTGAGTAAGGTCGGATGCAGTATGTTTTCTGAGGGTGTAAGGCCGCTTCGCCTGCCCGCAGGGCTTTCCTTGAGACTGACTGTTGCAGAGGGGAAAAGAGGCCCTTAAAACAAGAAACCCTAAACCTAAACCTTAAAACACAAATAGGCCCCTACATTAGGGTTCGGGATTT